TGAAATCTTTGGTTCCTGATCACAGACAACGAGTCAACACTCATAATTTCTTATTACTTCAAAACTGGTAAAGGTGACTCATAAGCAGAACTGTGAATGACCATTAACTTCCGGTGAAACACGATCCACAGTTTCATCGAGATGGAAACATTTACAGGAAAAGAAAATCCAGGGAAACCGGCGAGGCAACAGACATAATTCATTTTCGTTTACCATATGAGAGTTCCCACAATATTTTCCAGGTTTTGTCTACACTTGAAGTTCTGCAGTGTTTTGTGGTAAAGTTTTCTCTTTTATTTTTGTTCTCTCTTCTTTCTTAGTGAATCATGGAGAAGAGAAACACAATTTCTGTGTAGTGTTTTTTGGCCTTATATAAACTCTATAGTTTATACTAAGAACATACAAAGTGTTGTTCTGTTTGACTCTTGGTCCTTGTACAAACAGAGGTTGAAGGAGAGATTCAAGTGATGTAGATTGTGTTTAATCGTGCATTACTGCTAATTTATTTCGTTTCTTCAATGATTTGTTTGCTAAATAGTTTTTTTTTTCTTTGGCTCAACACTTTACTCCAAGAGAATACATTTCAAGGTTTTTCAGTCTCTATTAAAGACAATACACAACGAGATACTTAAACATTGTAAAAAAAATACTGTTGTTTAAGAGGTATCATAATTCCACATTGATTTTAAATCAGTTTTTTCATAATTTTGGTTACCTATATTTTTTGTTGATATTTTTTTGTTTTTTTAATTTATAATTTTCAGTTGATATTTCTCTAAATAACTCAATATGAATATGCACAATTAAATTTGAACATAACTTTTAAAATTGTGAAATATAATTTGTTGTGCCAAAAAAATAAAATAAAAAAGATTTTTGCCTTGGTTGAATGTTTAACCCATAAATGCAAAACCCTCTTTACATTACACGAAACAGAATTACTTAAAAAAACATTAATGCATTATTTTACAAATAATTATCAGAAAATAGGTGGAGGACCAGTAAAAATGTAAAAGTGTAATTTTTCTTTAGAGATAACAAATATGCAGTGGTAATCGACATATAACTTGGAAAAAAAAAAGAGAGTTTCCGATTTGTGTTACATTATTTGGATATGGTTTATGGATTTTGATCTCGTGATGGGTTTGCGAGAACCTGCTGCTAAAACAAATGATAATAGCATTAATTAGAGAAGGTCATAATTTACCAATTAAACCATCTTTGCATTTGCATATGAACACGTAACTCTTATGAGTAAACTTAACTCTAAATATTGATTAACATTAACGCCAAACCCCCTAAAATCATGTTTGCAATTTCATTCTTCTTTAATCACAACCTCTAATTAATTCTCTTCTAATTTTCCTTCATCTTTTCATTTTCCTTCGATTATTACTTTTCTTCTAGTCAAATAAAGTTTTTTTTGTACTTACTATAAGAACTTGCAATGACTCTCTATCTTACTATTTATGTTTTGGTTCCCGTATTAGCATTACTTAATTTCTACCATACGTTCCTTTAATTGGACGATCCTTTAATTAGCTTTGAAAAGCTTTTCAGATTTAAAATTTTAAGTATACAATACCATATTTGTTTAAAACCGAGACAATAGTCAATGCAAAATAGACTCTATTTCAATTTGATTGTCTGATTCTGTAAATCAGTAGATATTCAAACCAATTTCAACCTGTAAACTGGACTAGACATCTCTAAACTATTTATCTGAAGTAACGTGATACCGCCATACTAAAGGAAGCAATTTTATATTAAAGAAAACAAAAGATTTTTTTCTTTTTTGTGAAAACAAGATTTTACTAAGTACAACATTATCACAAAAAAATATTAAGAGAAAAAAAAACATGTAATTTATTAATATAAACTTGTATGTGACCAAAAAAAAAAAATTGTAAGAAGATATTGGAGTGTTCGAACGTACACCTTTATTTTTGTATTAAATTATTAAAACTGATCTTACAATTATAATTATTGATTCTTACAAATATATTAAAAAAAATGTAAGAAGATAACCACAAATCTTCAAAAAAAAAATATATTACAAATATTAATTTGAGGTTAAAACCCTATAACATTAATTTAATTTGATTTGAGGATATGTATTTAATTAAGAAGTGATAAGTTTATTATTCATGTGGGAGTTAGGAAAATAAAGAAAGACAATACACCAA